AACATCAAGATTCTTCAACAAACTAAAAGCAGAACTAAAACATGACCCAGCTACACAGCTCCTTACAGTAGTCCCAAGGATTTAAAGTAAGGGTACTACACGGATGCCTTCACGCTTATGTTTACTGTGGCACAATTCACAACAGCACATGAATGGATAAACTGTGAAGAGATAAATAAGGAAGTATTATGAAGCCAGAAAAAAGAGCAAAATAATGTTATTCTCAGGAACATTAATGGAACTGAAGATTATTATTAAACAAATTTGCTAGACTCAGAAAGACAAGTATCACAAGTATCATTTCTGGAGTGTGTGAGATCTAAAAAAACATGACATAAAATTGAAAGAGAAACTATTCTTATACAAGAGAGTGAAATAAAGGGGACACGGACAGTAGTATAAAAGAGTGTAACTGGGGAATGGACACAAGCAAATTATCTTATCAGCATGAGTGAAAATGCCGCACTAAAACGTAATATTTTGTAAGTAATATGGACTAATAAAGATATTTGAAAAACCAGAAGAGTACCTTTCTTAATCATTCCAATTGGGGGATAAATTGAATATTTAAATTTAAAGTTAAATCGGACACAGAAGTTTGACTATTGCATGGTGCTCTCTAAATGAGAAACCCAAAACAACAATAAAAATGAAATAAAAGATAGCTAATAGGAAGCAGAGACATATTTTTAAAATGGGAAAGGGATCAAGAGATGGGGTGAGGTCAGTGAAAGGGGATGAAAAAAGAACTGATATTTGGTACGTCCATGGACCAACTCCCCCACAACAAGCGGAACCATTATGTAATGCAAACATGTGCCAAAAACAAAACTGAAGAAAAACTGTTTTGAGTTCTACAAGCTTTCCTTTTCAATGTTTCAATAATTTAATGTCCTGGGGACAACACACAGGGTAGGCGGTCAATAAGGGTTTTCTGAGTAGACGATTCTGTAGTTTTCTTAGACACCACAAATTGTTTGGATTTTAAGGAGAGTTAGTCTCCATTAATTATTAGATATCGGCAACATTGGTACCTTTATGTCTCCTTCCCTCTCTAGTGGCGTCAAATGAGATATCAAGGGTGACAGGAATCTACCAAGAGTAGCCTGGCATTTAGAGTGAGACGCATTTATTCATTTATCCACTGGTGGACCTGTGGGTTGATTGGAAATGTGGTACGTGTACACGACGGCATATTATTTAGCCATGAAAATAATAATGCCCTGCCGTTCTAAACAACATATACGGCACCGAAGGCATTATGTTGAATGAAACATGCATTCGAAGAGAGGTAAGGCATGCTTCTCCAGACGTGGATGTCCAGTAGGTCACAAACGTGTATACAATAGTGACTGCTACAGACTGGAAAGGAGAAAGGAGGGCAACAAAGTGAAACTGAATGACAGGGACCCAACTGTACAGAAGTAATAAATTCTAGCACCCTGCAGCACAAGGGGTGTCTATAGTGCACAATCGACTACTATGTGTTATCCGAATAACTAGGAGAGAGAGGCTTGAAAACACTAGACTCAAAGTAACAGTGATGGCCGGGGATTTAGCTCAGAGGTTCTGCTGCCTGCCTTGCAAACACAAGGGCCTGAGTTCAATCCTCAGTACCAAACAAACCAAAAAACCAAACAAAAACACCCCCACAGAATAACAGTGAGATGAATGCGTTATTATCCTTATCTGCTCAATACATATTGCACACAAGCTTTGCAATATTATACTGTACCCTATAAATACGTACAATTATTGTATATTAATAAAAACGTTTAAACATTTAGGAAAAGGAAAATACTAAGTACTCTGCCTGGATCATTATACATTGTAAACATGGATCATATTCAAAATAAATGAGAGCCACACTTTATCCACTTACCTTAGATACATACAGATCCTAAGGTGACGATACTTAAAACCAGTTTGTAGCACTAAGATAGGCTAAGACAAAGCCACCTGAAACTCCTCTATCACAAAGGACGTTACCTTAGCAGTACAAAAATTATTATCCTGACATACCAGAGAAAAAGGAAGGCCCAAATAATTTTTGCATTGCTTTGATCAAATGCAAAACATTGGCAATTTATTAGTTGTTGTATCCCTTAGGAATTCACACACATGCTGCCTCAGAACAAACCACACGGAAACTCCGTGTCTTACCACAGTGCTATCTTATTGTTGCCCCTGAGTACACGGGGCAGCTCCTCAGGTCTGTTGATGTTGGCCGAGTTCCCTTGTGTGACTAGAGTCAACTACAGCTTGGCCAAATGCAGCCACAGTGTGCATAACTGGAATTCCTGGTTCTTCTCCATGTGCTTCTTAGGTACCTCTCACAGGTGAGCTTGGGCACATTCCACGGTGGAGGAAAGAAAGCAAGAGTAAGCAGACCTAAACATTTCAATGGCATGAAGGAAACGCAGCAGTTTTGAATTTCTGCTGAGCCTCATTTGCTAACAATGCGCTGGTCAAAGCAAGTATAAATCCAAGCCTAGAGTTAAAGTAGGAGAAAACATAGGGAGAGGTGAGGACACAGCAAATCCTACCCAAGTCATAACCAAGCTCTGAAAAACTAGGGAGGAATTGATTACTTGAAAACTCCAAAGAAACCAGAGCCTTTCCCAAAGGACATTGCCCTTGAGTGCGTGCTACAGGAAGTGCTAGCAGTCTGCTCCTGGAAGGGGCCCCACTTTAACAGTGTAACCCTTTTAAATGACTATACCAAAGTAGTTTCTGTCTCTGCATGTCAGTCATTGCCTCCCCAAGACCTCCTTGACATTGTACGGATTATTTCTGTAAAGACAGGAGATGCCTTTGTTTGATAGTAATTCACTCAGGCAGGTGTCGAATCATTTACGGAGATCTTTTCTGTGTCTAGAGGGGCACATTTGAGGCCGGGCACCAAGAAACAAAATGGCGGCCATGTGTTCTCAGTCATGTGATGGAGCTGGGATATGTTCTTTTCAAGAACTCTGGAAATCCAGAGAGTTGCAAACTGCAGAAGATAACACAGCAATTTGGGGAAGAAACTTCTGTTTCTCAGCCTCTGAATTGTCCAGAGAGTTTTTGAGCTGGCAGAGTCTTTCTTTTCCACAATAAGCCATGAAGAGGAGATTTCAGAGTTGGTTCCTGGAGGCACTTGTAATTCTCAAATATTGCTCCAAAATAGTATGTTTGAAAGCAAGCAAGCACTTTAACTCTAGAAGACAGAAAACAGAATCTGTTCACAGTCTGAAGCTACACAGGTTATCCAGAGACCGTTATTTCCAGAAGCATGGGGCTCAGGAATACACAGACGTAAATATAGGAACAAAGATAAACGGGAAGATATTAAGTGATTGTCTCCGGCGTAGCAAGCCCTGTTGGCAAACCCAAAAGCCACTCCCAGTCACTTTACCACTGATAACTCTTATTCTATCTAAAAATTCAACACTGGTTTTTCTTCAGGTTCATTGTAAGAAGGAGTGGTCATTTTATCTAGTTCTGACAAAGTGAAAACTTCTGCAGTGGTTCTGGGAAAGCTTCTGTGTCTTGTTAAGAGAGAAATACAGAAGGAGAGGTGGCTGCTTCTACTCCATCCTGCTTTTTCTTTCCTCGAACAAGGTTTGGAGCTCTGGAGGCCACTTTACAAAAATGAAAATAACATCAAAAGTTGACCTGCCTTGGAGCACAAGGAAAGCCAGGAGCAGCTTCAATATTCTTTTTCTTTTCTTGGTGGTGAGGATGGAATCCTGGGCCTCACATTCGCAAAAGCATTTCCTCTACCACTAAGATTCACCTCCCCAGTCCGGAGAGCCTAGATCTTTTACCACACTGCTGAGAAATGGAAGCAATAACAGCAACACCTAATGCAATCCGCCTCTACTTGCAAGAAAAATAGTTCTGTGTATCATTAGGCCACTAAATGTTGCTGATGTGCAGCCAGGAGTATTTCTGAGGAAATCATCCCATGTGGTGTGAGCATGGATAATTTCAACTTCCTTGGTGGGTGTTAGTCTTACAGCTGGCTTCTAAGCGCAAGAGCCGACTCCTGTACTATCACTGCCATTTAAAACCATATTAGGGCTCAGGGTGTAGTCAGTGGCACAGCAGTTGCCTAGCACACATGAGCCCAGGAATCCCATCTCCTGCATCCGCAAAAAAGGCTGGCAGTGTGTAGTTATATATTGTACGTAACATGTACAACATACACATACGTGATAAGTATGCAATATAACAGACTACATAACAGGTGGTCCATGATACATATTATAGTTCCATGTTTTTTAACACAATAGTTCAACCACATGTTGTATAGAGAGCAAAGGGCATATAGAAATAATATATAACACACAGAAGTTCTTAGCCTTCTCTCAGGAGGCAGGTCGAACATCCACCTGTTAGCCTCACTGATTAGCGCATAGAGTAAGATCCTTCCCCTATGTTCGTTTTATATCTGTGTGAGTTATGATATTTTTATTGGGGGTTGTGTAGCCAAGAAGGCAAGAAGCTGGGGTTCACAGCTGTGAGACCCGACTGAGCTAACGTGACTCCACGTTGACCGTCTAATGACCCCAGAGACCGCTGTGTTCCCCTCCCCTTATGAAACAACAGGGAAAACTGCTTAAACTGCAAAAACCTTCTGTGCTAATCGCAAGCTTGATTAACAAGCGTGCCCGGGAACAGATGGGATGTTAAACGGGACCCTAAAACACTACCCCTGTAAGACAGGTGTAAGGTAAGTAAAGGTATCTGAAGCTTCACCCCTTTTGCAGCTGTGAGACAGCCCTGACCCACATCTGAAGTTTTTTGTTTAGAAAATCCCCGTAAAACCTATGCACAGTCCTGTAACGGGGCTTCACTTCTCTTAGAGAGTGGAGTCCGCACGTGTGAAATACACTTCTTTCCGTCTTCTCTGTGTCCCGGTATTTGGTGCACTCGCTGGCTTGGTACAACAGCAGCCAGGCCGCCCAGCTCCATCCCCACACCTGACTCAATGAGTAACCAAGCACCCACCTTACCTCCCAGGAGACTTGGTGTGGCTTGTCACCGCCTGCCAAGCCCTCTTTCAGAGCAAAGTCTGTGGAGGACGCACAGTCCTTCGCCATCTTGGAGGAGGAGGGTGTGGAGGACAGGACCATCCCTGAGGTCTGGGGCTGAGAGCTGGGCGAGGTCTTCCTGATGAGCCACCTCCTGTACTCTTCTCGTACCTGGACACGGAGACACCATGGAAGCTCAGCAGGGCCGGACGCAGGAAAGTGGTCCCGGCACAGGGAGTCTGGAGGACGCACGGGGAGGGGACACGGAGGCGGGGGCCGCATACCTGGCGGCTGAGCAGGCAGTGGATGAGGAAGATGAAGGCGCCCTGAAGGCTGTTGGTGACGGTGAACAGGTACGCCATGATGCCCGCCACGGGGCCCACCTGCAAGATGCCCAACACCCATGTGCAGCCCAGGATGAAGAGCTGGGCAAAGGCCTTGAAGGTCAGCAGCCTGGGAGGGGAGATTTACAAAGCATAAGGACGCGAGGGGTGGCACCGTTCTCCTGGGCCACGCTCAGAGGACCTGAGGCTGCTGCCGTGCGCCCCACCCGGGTGGGGAGAAGGGGGGAGTACAGTTTCAAGGTTCAGATGTAGGGGAATCGAGCAGACAATTACAATACAGTTTGCTTATGATACCCATGGTACAAAGATGCGCAGATGCAGTGTTGAATGATTTCTCTTTTTTTAATTCATCAAAATTTAGAAGGATCTGGGTGCCCCAAAATTTGGGTTACATTAAATGATGGGTGAAACCACAGTATAAAATACCAGAAAGGCTTTCTTCTACAGAGGTAAAATTCACTTCACACAAAGCTCACCATTTTAACTAAAGTGTGCAATCTGGCAGCACGGAGTATATTCCTGAGGTCATACAAACATCACCGCTACATAGCTGTAAGTATTTTTATTACCTCAGAAACTGGACACTTACTAAGCGGTCATTCCCCTATTGCACCCTCCTCACACAGAGGAACAACCCAAATGTTCACAGAAAGACGTAGGGATCAACCAAATGGAATGTCCGCTCAGTGGGGCACCATTCAGCCATAATGAAGAACAAGAAAGCCAAAGAACAAAATAAAACAAACTCTGATTCTTATAAATATACACGTCTAAGTATTCAAGAATACGTTGAAAAAAAAAGAATTCATTGATAGTTGCAATCGAGTAACATTCATGGCTTCCAATAACTGTGTGAAATGCTTTATAAGGGCCATAAAGCAGCAGTATTAAGATCCCAATATGATAGAGGAGGAACCTGAGGTCCTCACAGAGGGGACCCGTAGCTCTCCTAAAATCACACAGCTCATCAACGGTAGCTGTGGATTTTCAGGTACAACAATCTGTGCCAGACTCACAAGCCCTCGGTCTTGGGCGCTGTCCTGGTTTCTACCCCGACGTCCCCCAAAGCCTCGTGTGCTCAGAGGGGGCATTGCGGAGACGACTGGACCACAGGCACAGCGCAGGCAGCGCCACGTCAGGGGGTGGGGCCAGGTGGGAGAGCTGGGTCACTGGGGGGGCTGTGACCCGGGAGTGCTCGCCCTCCCTGGCTCCTCCCTGGCTCCTCCCTGCGCTGCGCCTCCAGCTGCCATGACATGAGCCACTCCTCCGCACCTGGTGCAGGACAGGTGTGAACCACAAGCTGTACGCGCCGCGAGCCAAAGCAAACCCATCCTACTCTATGCTACAGGCGACGGGCGCTGTTTCTCAGTGACAAGAACGCGACAGGACAGCCGCAGACGCAGCGTGCCCAGGGAACTTGTCGGGTTTTTGCCAGAAGAGAGCAGACGCTAGAGAAGAACAGGAAAGAACAGAGGCTGTACCTGCTGTCTTTGAGTGTTGAGACTTCGGCGTTGACGCTGCAAAGCTTCTGCCTCAGGATCCACAATGTCCAGCTCAGGAGGACGGAGTTGATCTACAGAAGCAAACAGAAGGGGCCCAGGATTGGGTACCCACACGCATAAGGGCCAGGCCAGGCTGCCTGTAAGGACAGAACTGTGAGATTCAGCCTCTAGCAAACAAACCAGGGACACTCCCAGCGATGACCTCGGGTAGACTGAACCTGCATTCGTAAATGACAACTTCCTTAATTTCTTCCCCACTTCCAACTTAGGACCGACACCAGAAAACCCACATACAACCCTACAAATTTCATTTCAACTTGCCAGAGATTAAAGCTAGGCTTATATCTCTCACCATGCACTAAACTAAAATCGAAATGGATTAAAGATCTAAATATTAAGACAGAAACACTAAACGGCTGGAAGAGAGGTTAGGCAGAACTCTTGAAGACACTGGTGTAGGAAAAGAGTTCATGAATAAAAAAACCTCAGTTGCCCATGAACTGGCACAAACAATCAACAAGTGGGATCTCTTCTTATTAAAAAGCTTCTGTGGGGGGGGGGGTTAGCTCAGTGATTCTCCTGCCTGCCTGGCAAATGCGCAAATGCAAGGTCCCAAGTTCAATTCCTAGTACCAAAAAAAAAAAAAAGCTCCTACATAGCAAGAGAAACCACCAACAGTGTGAAGAGACAATCTACAATGTGGAAAATATTTACCAGCTGTTCCTCAGATAAAAGTTTACTGTCTAGAATATATAAAGAATTTCAAAGAATCAGACCTCCCAAATTTAAAGATCCAATCAAAAAATGGGCATCTGAAATGAACAGATATTTCTCAAAGAAGTAGAAATAGCATATGAAAAAATGTTCAACATCACCGATCATTCGACGCAAATGAAAACAACACTGAGATTCCACCTCACCCCAGAAAGAATGGCGGCTATCATGAAATCAACCAACAACAAATGCTGGTGGGGCTGTGGGGAGAAAGGAATCCTGCTTTACAGCTGGTGGGAGTGCAGAATGGTGCAACCACTGTGGAAATCAGTATGGAGACACCTCAAAGAATTAGGACCAGATGTCTCGTTTGACCTAGGTATTCCCCTGCTGGGCATCTTCCCAAAAGAATTAAAATAATCATACCACAGTGATACATGCTCACCCATGTTTATAGAGGCACAGTTTGTAATAGCTAGAACTTGGAAACAGCCCAACTGCCCATCAACTGGAGACTGGATAAAGAAAATGTAGGGTTTATTTTTAATAAAATGGAGTACTACTCAGTCATAAAGAATAAGAAATTAGAGGCATTTATAGCCAAATGGATGCACACTGAGGCGATACTCTTAAGTGAAATAAATAGGACACACATGTAAATACCGAATAGTCTCTGCGGTGTGAGAAACTGAAAGTGTAAATAAGGATCACGATGTATGTATAATAGATAATGTGAAATAGGAAGAAAAGGTACAAAGGGGAAGGGGAAGTGGGAGGGGCAGGAGAAGGGAAAGAGGGGAATGGAATTAATGAGAAAATGAAAAAACGGAAACGAAGTCTTTGTAAATAGGCAGGGGTGGAATGGTTGAAGGGAGGGCAGGGGAATGGGGAAAAGTGAGCACTAAAATGGATTAGGTAGAGGTGCAGATCTCCAATGATGGATGTCATTATACTTCACGCCTCCAATGCATCAATATTTCCTAAGACGCAGAGTCACGTGTGTCATCCCTGCCGAACAATACAGCCAAGAGGTTGTGAGAGAAGGGCACGGGTGGCTGAAGGTCACTGTGGCAGAGGGCCTGCCACGGCCACCCGTTCCTCCTGAGCCAGTCTGAGCTGCCATTTGGAGAATCTGGATCCTCAAATATTCACAAGCAAGAGCACATTTATGAACCGTGTGACAGCTGCCAGAAATGGACACAGGGTGAGGGGTGAGCTGCCGCTGTCCTCCCGCGCTGGCCCCTGGGGCCTCTGCACTGGCCTCCTTCACACAATGGCAGCGATGTTGGGCTGCAGTAAAATCCCCTGCTCGGAGCACCGGCAGACACCTGCTCCATGGACTAGGGCTGACAACTCGCCTTCTTTGATGCCACCACACACCACATCTGTCACCTGGTACGGGGGCTAAGGGTGCAGCCAAGCCTTCACTGTGTTTGATGGTCTGGAGGGGCTAAGCCCGGCCCAGGCCCAACAAGATCATCAACGGATGCATCGCAAAAGAAAATGCATTGTATGGTCAGTGGAGTTCTAGCCAGTAAAAAGACTTTATTCGGTTTGCTTGCTTTTATTTCAGGGCTTACGATGCTTTTTTGCTCTCTGCACCATCGATACAGAATTTGGTTCTAATGCACATCTTCCTGTGGGGAGGGAAACTGGAGAGGTGCATGAAAAGAGCGCAAGGGTTTTCACAGTGAGAAAAATAAGGGCATCGCCACCTTGTTCCAGAAACAGTACTTTTCGTTCCCAAGGCCTGTGATAAAATGACAGGGACCAGCGTGTGCAGAGACGCACTGTCTAAAGGGAACTGAACAGAGCAAATTAACCACATCAGACCGGTGTTGATTCCTCAGGAAAACTCCCTCCCTGCAATAACGGAGTGCAGAACATGGCCCTGTGGACTGTCGTCCTGAAGGCCACCTCTGGACACTGAAGTCCCCTTCCAGTGACTTCCCTGCATGGCCCACCCAGACCAGACCTCCTGACAACTTCCTGTCGGGCCTGCTGCCGCCGGGCCCCAGGTCCTCTCCCTTCCGGTCACCACTCAGGGACCTCGCGGCAATTTCCTACTCCGTCCACCACCCCTGGACACTGCAGGCACCTCTGGGGACATTTCTGTCCAGCTCACCAGCACTGCGCTCTGCCCTTTCTGCTAATCAGTCTCATTTACCATTACCATTTCCTGTTACGCGCTTGTAAACTTTCACTGCCTCAGCACACCTGGTCTTTACGCAAGGTGTGTTTATTCCAGCACCAACAGTGTCACGAGTCAAAAAATATGAACTTAAAGCCAAGGATAACAAAAGAATTCTTTTGAGAGGAGTAAGGGAGCTTCTCAGTCTTGTACTTTCCCGATCTCCTGGGCCTCCCTGCTCCTGTTCCAAAACGCATCTCACAAAATAACCTGCTTACCATTATGATTGTGCAAACTGGCCCCAGGAAGCTCCAAATAAACCCCGTCTCGGTGTTCAGCCAGCAGCTGCGGAGAGAAATGAGAGGTGTGAGCAGAGGCCACAGATCCTGACCTTGCAGTTATTCTGGCATCAACAAATGCGCCAACGGGACAGCGCTGAGGGGTGAGATCGGATGGAAATTCTCATCAGGGACCAGGCTGCCTTACTGTATTTACTGCACCACGATGCAGCCTCTCTGAGACAATCTGCCTGGGCGGATGCCCCTGAAAGTTCGCCCGGGGCTGGAGGCCAAGCTCGTTACCAGTTTTTAACCTTTGTCATCCCTTCTGCCCCTGTGGAAACTCTACTCACACACTGTGGTTCAGATCTCAGCTCCAAGTCAGTGAGCAGCCGCTCTCACCCCTCCTCAGCTAAGTGTCTTATCACAGCAGAAGTCCCTGTATTTCTTTTTAGTGGTTTTTTGTTTGTTTGTTTGTTTGCTTGTTTGTTTGTTTTTGAGACAGGCCCTTACTGTGTGGCCCAGGCTGGTTTTGAACTCGTGGCGACCCTCTTGCCTCAGCCCTGGGAGCGCTGGGATCCCAGGTTTGTGTCACCGCACCTGGCTTTCATCTCATTTTCAAACAGCGGCTTTCTGTATCATCAGTTATCTCGTTCGGTCATTTGTGTCTGAAAATTTTCTTCCTTATCAAGACTACGAGTGTTTGGAACATGGGGGCTATGGTCATCTCTGTAACAAACCAGCAACCAGGGCAAAGCCCAGCATGAATCGGGCAGCCCAGAATTATGGGAGGGAGGAAGCAGTGTCTCTTTCTGTCAGGTCTCAAATGCGTATTTTTCTACTTTGTCTTGTTTATTATAGTTGGTGACAGTGCAGAGAGTCCTCACAAAACCAAGAAGAGAAATTCTATCTGACCCAGTTACTCCTCTCCTGGAAGAGATAAAGTCATCGTACTGCAGCGAGACTTGCATACCTGGGTTTATAGCATCTCAATCCACAAGAGCTAAATTACCAAAGAGGCCTACATGCCAGCCCACATCTGAGTGCAGAGAGGAAATGTGGTATATGTTTGCAACTTTGACCACCTAAAAAACATTCTTCCCCCGTGAACAATGGCACAGCCACATTCCTTTAGCAGTTGCAATGGACACATCTAAGAAGAAACAAAATCAAGCTAGGCTGTCCTAAGTCCCACCCGGAATGAGTCTCAACGATTAATGACTCCTGCATATGTGCAGTGTGCAACCTGTGTTACTGTACATGGGGGATCTGGGACCAGCAGGTTCATTGCTAGGGTTATTGCTTCTCCCGCAAGGATCGTCACTGTGAACCCTGGCAGCAGGGGCTTCCGGGAGAGGGAGAAAGCCACTCACCGGTTATGCATCCCATAGCCCCGAGGCTGGGCAACGGCAGAGATGACCACCAGCAGCCCCGGGAGCCCGTAGCCAAAGGCGCAGAGATGCAGCATCTTGACGTTGCGAGAGCTGAAGTAATTCACCACCTTCAGGTTCCGGACCATCAGGAAGAGCACCACGGCCTCCACCAGCATCCAGAAGAAGCAGGCGAGGAAGAGGTAGTGAAGGAGCCCCGCGAGCACGGCGCAGCCCGTCTGAGGAAGGCGCGTGCGTGGAGGATGGAGAGAAAAGGACGGGGACCACGTGGAGCGGGGCCACCAAACGCCATCGTTCACGCCCCCCACTCGTATTTCTAGAACTACAGCACGACCCCCTCAGTGATGGGTCCCCCTCATCCCCCTGGTCTGCGGCAGAGGGGTTTCCCAGCACACGTGATCTGCAGAGCTGAAACTGGGAAGGCTGTGGCCAAACGGGACACACTGAAAAATTTCTGAAGACGAGGGCGTTTCAGGTTCAGCAATCTTACGGCCCATGGGCTGACTGCTCACCGTGTAAATAAAGTTTTATTGGTGCGAAGCCATGCCCACTTATTTATTATCAGTGACTGCTGTGGTGGCACCTGGAGGAGTGGGGCACTCGGGACACAGCCGTGCTGTTCACAAAGCTGAAGACGCCTCCTGCCTCCTTACTGATGGTTCCTCCCGCTGTGACCCAGGTGATGAAGCGGGTGCCGGCAGCCTCGATCACGCAAGGGGCTGCGAAGCTCAACGCTCCCACAGAGAGCGGGGTACAGAGAATGCACCAAACATGACGATCTCACCGCACATTCAGTCTGGGCTCCTGGGGAGGAAGCCCGGGACTCCCCTGCGTATCGGGCGTGTAGCCCAAGTTCCTGCCCTCGCGGGGCTCTCAGTCACGTGACCAATGGGGCAGCGCCCACAGCCACCGCGGCTTCAAGTGACTGCCAGGGAAGGACAGGGACTACCGTGATGGGGAGGGGTTGAGCGGCCCATTCCTATCTGCGGGGCCTGGGGGACGTAGCAGCGTCCCTTATCTATGACGTCATGAGCACCCGCCCCCAGTTGCCATAGCCACAGTGTCTCCGGACGCTCTCACGCCTCTCTTCAGGGGCGATGTCACCGTGGGTAAGAATCACCGGTGAACCAACAAGTGAAGGGAGCATGAGAACTCGTGATGGGGCCAGGGAGGCACCAGCAGAAGTCTGCTAGGTGAGAGGCCGGAGAGGGGGCGTGACGGGCGGGGGCCCAGCATGTGCAAAGGCCCCAAGTGAGAACGGGGTGAGGACGAGCAGAGGCAAGGAGATCACGGGCACAGCTCGAGGGGTGCTGACCTGGCTGTTGGTCTTGTCTATGCCGGTGAGGAAGAGAAGCTTGGCCAGGAAGAGACACACGCACAGGTGCAGGTGGAGGTAGGTGTTGGGGTTGCGAACGGCGCGACACAGCAGGAAGGTGGCGATGGCCAAGACGAGGCACACCAGGGAGACGATCATGCCCACGTGGCTGATGACATACAAGGCGAACTCCATCTGTCAGGAAGGAGATGAGCTGTTAGCCTCAGCGTGGAAGTCCTGTCTGCCACCCACAGGCAGAAAGGAAGTCGGCCAGACCGGTATCTTGGGAGAAAGGGCTCCGGGCCTTTGCTCCCTCTGACACTCAGAACGAACCACATACTGTTGTTCAGTGTCACCTGTTCCAGCCCAGTGACATTCCTCAGTACTCGTTCCCACCCTGTCATATGCTCCACCCTGTTTGGGGGCTGGACATCCACAAACTACATTTCCCAGAACCCCCCGTGGTTAAATTCCTGGATGATGATCTTTGGGTTGGCCAATGAGATGCTCCACGAAAGGCTGGGGAGAAAGAACAGGGAAAATACCAGCTTTTCTGTAGCTAAGAGGGAGCTTTTGACTCTACCTTCCAACTCTCCAGTCCTTCATTGCATAGGGGCACAAGGGACTGGACAGGAACAATTTCTTTTTAAAGGTATTTTCATTGGGGCATATTTATTTTACAAAGTATTGGGTTTAGATGTGGTATTTTTCATACATGCATATCTTTTGATCGTGTCCATTCGATTACCTTTTTTATACCTCCCCTCCTGCTTCCCCCTTATTATCTTTGCTTTGTCTAATAAGAATATCCTTTCTACTTTTCATTTCATTTTACATTCCACTTGTAGGGGAAACGTGTATCTTGGTGTGGCTTATTTCGCTTAAGATGGTGATTTCCAGTTCTATTTATTTGCCTGAAGATGATATACTTTGATTCTTCTTTATGGACAATCTTGTGCGCATACAGTATTTTCTTTATTCATTTATCCATTGGCGAGCTGTTTCCGTATCTCGGCTATTGTGGATTGTGCCGCTGTAAACATGGATGTGCACTTATTTCTACAGAATGCTGATTTGCTTCCTTCAGGTATATGCCAAAGAGGGACACAGCACGGTCATAGGTAGCTCTGTCTTTACTGTTCTGATGAGTAAGTTTACTGATTTCCGTCGAAGATAAGCTAATGTATGTTACCACCAGCAGCGTAGAAAGGTTCCTTTTTCCTTACACCCTCACCAGAAGGTCCTGGGGTATTTATTTATGTATTTGTATTTGCCTTGCTGTGAGCAGCTTTTCAACATAAGGCAGTCTCTGTTGTTGATTCTTGATGTTATTTCCTGTGTGATTGGAGTCCTACTTTAGGAAAGTTTTTTTCCTGTGCATATGACTTCAAGTGTTTCTCCTATATTTCCTTCCAGAAATTTCAAAGCTTCGGGTCTTAAACCAAGATTTTGGTACCAGGGATCAAACTCGGGTCCTTGCACTTGCAAGGCAGGTGCCGGAACCACTGAGGTAAATCCCATTCCCTTTAAGTCCATTTTGAATTGATTTGTACAGGGCCGGGATTTAGCTCAGCGGTACCGCTGCCTGCCTCCCAAGCGCAAGGTTCCGAGTTTGATCCCTGGTACAAAAAAAAGAGGCACTGGATGGATCTGTACAGGATGACAGCGGGACCGAGTTTCAATCTCAATACGGATATCCGGTTTCCGCAGCACTGTCTATTAAAGAGGTTCTATTTTCTGCAACATTTTTTTCTTTGGACCATTGTCAAGAATCGGATGCTTGCAGTAACTTGAGTTTGCTTCTGTGTCCTCTATTCTATTCCACCTCTCTGGATGTTTAGTTGCGCGGCAGCACCGTTCTGTTTTCATGACTCTAGTCTTGCAGTATGATTTCAAATCAGGTATTGCGATGTTTCCAGCCTTGTTCTCTTGTTCAGCATTACTTTGGCAATTCTGGGACTTCTGTGTTTCCGTGTGAATTTTAGGATTGTTTATTAGTTTTTAGAAGTTTTATATTAGTATCAATTGGTGATTCATAATAAGTATATTTGCTTTGGGGAATTCATTTTCTCTCTCTCTCTCTCTCTTTCTCCATATATTTATCCTATTTCGCTGAAAATAAGACCTAACTGGAAAATAAGCCCTAGCCTGATTTTTCAAGATGCTCATTATATAAGCCCCCACCCCTAAAGTAAGCCCCAGGTAAGATCGTCAACCAGAGGCATTATCATGCCTGTTGCAACACACGATGGACACAATGAGTTATAAAATAACAATATGTAACAAGATATAAATAAATATTATTATTGCTATCCGTACTTAAAATAAATAATATAAATGATAATTAAATATTTTTAAATCCCCAAGCAGAATTGGGACCAGAGGTAAGCGCCAATGCAAACAGAGAAACTCGAGACTTCCTGCCAAATGACCAGAGTACAGACACAGTGCATGAATAACATTCACACTTGATACAAATGGGAATGCTTGTGTCTAATATAAATCGTCATAATCCAAAAGGCCATGTGTTTTAACGGATATACTTAACGCACCGGTATGAAATAATGATGTGTCTCTTGGATCGGGGGTGCCTGAAAGTCTTAATTGTCATCACTTTTGTTTCCACTCTGCCTTGTAAGCCTCTTCCCAGCACTCGATTTATTGGCAACTTTGTGAACCCTAGACTGCAAGGGTTCATGACTCGGGTGAAGAATTTATGCAATAAAATCACTCCGTGCGGTGTGGCATAGTTTCGGAACTGTTGTTAGTTTTTTATAGCTGGAGAAATTCTGCAGAAATCTCACCCTCATCAATGACCGGCTTCACGGCAAGGCACACCTCAATCTCACACCCTGTAAAATGCGCCTAAGAACCAGTAACGTTAAACAGAGAGTCCAGCCCACACAGGCATTTAGGAAATAGGACCTATGAATCTTAAGGTGCCTGCACCTGTTTAGGGCCATTGTTTCTGATTTTATATTTGACTCTTTGCCTTCCCTATAAGGTCGTGCGTTCCCGAAGGACAGAGGCACGGCACATGTGTCCCTCTGTCCCCGTGGCTGCTTCCCACAACCACCGACACCATAAGGGACACACAGAAGGTGACACAGTGGCACCTCGGTTCAAGAATGCTTTTGTTCGTGAACAGTGTGGTCCACAAACGGAAGCCTTTGACAAAACTTTGTTTCTCTTTGCGAAGACTGCATTTGAGAGACCAACACAACGGTGGCCACCTCTCCCGCACCAAGACCAACATGGCCGTCTTTTCCAGAATCACACAACAGATTAGTCTATGAACCGAGGCGCCACGGGACATCCCCAGGGATTTGAGGACACACCCAGGGACCCAAAGAAAAGATCATCGGTGCTGACCGTGAGCTCCCCAGAAGCCATTATGACTGCCAAGTTTGCCACGTGGTTACAGCCGCACTTGGTGTGAGTCTCTGACACTTCCAGGGTCACACAGCCGGATGGTGTCCACCTCCCGTCCTCAGGATCTGTGTCCCAGGAAACACAGATGGCCTCCTCCAACTTCTGCTTTGGCTGCAAAATAGGAGGGCCCAGTGACTTGAGACCTTCTCTCCAGTGAATTACCTGGGACCAACCTCAAGAGCCACTGGGGCCCAAAGATCCAGCATGGAGACAGAGAATTCTGTTTCCAAACACAGTGAAGTGAAGTCCTCTCTGACGCTGCTGCCCACAGCGTGAGTGCGACAAGCAAATGCCTCCTTTGATCAGATCTGGGTTGAGACTGGCCACACGGTCACTCCTGCAGTCGCTCATGATGATTTCACTGGGAGCCTACGGCATGCCTTTATCAGTGCTGCACACGGGAGATATTGGTAAGTGAAGCAGGCACAGCCCCATCCCCCAGTAAAGCAACAGTACGACGAGAGGAAATATGAAAATAGTAGAGACCTTTTTAGTCACAATAAAAATAACAGTATGACTTGAGAGTATGTAACAGTAGTTAATCTTGTGATATAGACAGGCATTGACGGTGTCACTGAAGAAATGACATTTGAGACACGAAAGTTGCGGTGTACTTATACAGGTGGCAAAGGCAAGCATTCTAGGCAGAAGGAACATGTGCAAGTGTCCTGAGGCACAAAGGACACCAGTGCATTTCCAGAAGTGAAATAAGCCTGTGGTGAGTGGAGAGCACAGAAGGAGATAAACACGTTGCTTTTGCACACTGAAGCACAGCATCAAACCTGAATACTGACAGACTGATGGAGAATGCCCCAGGACATCTCATCAGGGTATTTATGCTGACAATTATCAGCAAAGTAAACCACGTTTGGGAAGACCAAGTCAAGAGTCGGGGAGAAGTTTCAGGAAAACATCTACAACTGCTGTGGGAGTAGAGGGGAGGGTTATTGCGAAGGGGAAACAAAGGGATCAAGTCTCATTCCACCAACCACCATGTTGTCCCAGGAAATGCAGATGGACACCCCCAGCCTCTGGTGTGGCTGAAAAATGAAAGGAGCTGGGCTCCTGAGGGTCCCTTTAACAGATGTTATATAATCCACGACAAGTACAGTTGGGACACAGCTCAGGGGCAGAGCATATTGTGAGGCCATGAATTCCATCTCCAGCACTGGAAGAAAGGAGCCTTGGGGGCATAAAGATGTGTGCATGGTCCACTGGCAATGGAGGAAAATGCTGGTATCTCAGTGCACAGCTGTCCTGTCTCCACTGCCAAATGGGCCCTACTTAAGGTAAATAAATAGCCCATGAATGTTCCTGCACCCGTGTCTCCCAATCTCGCCTACATCTAGCCCAGTGCTGAAGGTAGCAGCACTAGATGGAGATACGAAAGCTCATTTTCCTGCAGACAGCTATGGGGACGCGGCTTAAACTGCAAGCAAATGTAGAACACAACTGCCTGAATAGTTCCTATGGAAAATGAAAGGTGAGACTACAACAATTTATCAATCCTCGTAAATAAACAGAAGAGTCAGACGTTTTCCAACACTTAGCAGTGATAATTACAGGCTCTGTAAATGCTAATTATGATTACCCTGATTTGATCATTACACCTTGTATACTTTATCAAATCATCATACTGTATTCTATAAATATGTATAAACACAGTGTGTCAATACTTTAAAACACCAGGTGGTACCCCCTTAATCTGTACAGTTAGGATTTTATGTGTAACTTTTAAATTAAATTTAAATTGTTCAAAAGATCCAAAGAGAAACTATCGTGGTACCGGACACGTACTGTATCTAGTTGCATCGATTTTAGGATCTCAGTTGTAACGTTTGACTATAATTCTACAAGCCGTCACCTCTGAGGACATTTGGAAGACTACACGGAATTGCTTGGTACCCTTTCTCACAACCGAAGCTAAGATTCTTTCAGAATAAAAATGTTTAATTTAGAAAAATGAGAATCGCAGCCCCTGGGAGAATGGTAATTTCTCGGGAGAAGACCAGACTGGGGTCTCAGACTCTTCACTACCTGAATGTTCTCCAGGGTGTAGACAATCGGCTCTGTGAAGTTGTCTTTCCTCTCCCCGGTCATGATGCCCCCAACGACACGAGAGCTCATGCGCAGTTTCCTCTCCGCGGTGCCCCAGCCGGCCTGGGGGTCTCTGAAGAAGCGTTCATCTAAAATGGATTCCATGTTTGCAAAGGAGACAAAAGCTACTCCAACGGTCCCTGCCCAGATGAAAAAGACAAGTGGGAAAGCTTAGCTAGGAAATTGGGAAGGACGCGCCAGGGCCAGCGCACGCGCACGCACAAACACGCACAAACGCGCACGCACAAACACGCACGCGCACGTACGCGCATGCGCACGCATTGGACTATTCCAAGCGTCAAAACTGCCTTACTCTGAGGATGGAGCTGGCAGTGAACCGCCAGGTTGGTGACCCTGGTGAGAATCGTGCAGTTTTGCTTTGTTTTGTTGTTAAGCAAATCCCGAGTGGCTATTACCGTGAGAAATCTTATCTGCATTTAGGCATAAATTTGAATTTTCACTTTTAAGGGACAGGGCATTCAGTGGTGGGTGTTAAGTTTTCCTTCCACCTTCACCTTTATTCCTGTTTGACCTCTCTTGTGGGCTTTGTGCTTTCTTTTTAAACACTCGTCGTCTCCAGGGGCCTCTTCCTGTCCCCACCAGTCTGGCCCAAGCCCCAGGATTCCTACAAGCCGAGGGAGGGACTCTTAGAAGTCCGCTGAGACATCACGCGCATTGAGTGCTTTTCTGAGTCCATCTCTTAATTGCGTCCCTCTCTTTCCATAAATAAAGTCACCCATCCTGGAACTCGGAGAATCCTCCTTTGTTTCTACTTCACCCAAAACCAGATTCTTCCCTCTCGATGAGCCCTGATGACCCCTTTTCCACTTCTGGCTTCAGCAGCCTGAGCTGCACCTTGACCTCTCCCTCTGGACCCCTGCTTCCTCACCGACCTCCTCCACACCCCCGCAAGTGCATCGTCTGTTTGGCAGCCAGAGCACCGCTTCAGAACCCCAACTCTGCACAGAAGACTCCAAGGCTTTCTGTGCCCTCGGGAGAAAGGGTAAACTAACCGATTTTGATCAAACACCCGCCATCTCCGTCCCAGTCTCCCCAGCATTTTTGCTGCTCTAACCTCGCCCCACTTTCTACTTCCATGAATATGCCTAGGGGTTTTTTTTTTTCCTCTCTCTCTGCAGAGCTGTTGCTTGTACTCCCTAAGATGTTTGCTTTTTCTTTCTCTACATAGTTCTCAGGATTTAGTTTAAATTTCTTTTCCCACATTTCATCTTGTGGTTTCACACTGAAAGTATTACAGAGCTGACTATAGATAAAGGACAGCAGGCTGGGCCGTATTGTACACAAGGCCTAAAAAATCTCCTAGCTGACCTTCTAGGGTAAGACTATGCTGACCACGATATAGATGACTGTTGTCCAGTAGAAATACAGTGTGAGCCGTATATATAATTTGAAATTATCAGGTAACTGCATTTTGAAAGAGCAAAAAACAAAAAAAAATAATTTTGATGATATACTAAACAAAATGTTATGTCGAAATTCAATTTGAAATTTTAAAATGTAAAACTATATGGTAAAATAAGTTGTTTTTTTTATGGCTGAATAGCATTTCATTGCATATATATGTCACGTTTTCTAAAGACCTTTCACCGGGCAGCATTTTGGGTGACCCCGGAGAGCACTACGTTAGGTGAGATATGCCAGGCACAGACAGACAAACACCGCATGATCTCATTTGCTTGTGGGACCTAAAAAACTTGTCGATCTCATAGAAGCAGTGGGTGGGATAGCAGCTACCAGTGTCTGGTGGTGTTGGAGAGATGCTGCTCAAAGGATATAAAATTCCAGTGAGACAGGGAGAAGATGTTCCGGAGAACTGTTGTACAGCAAGGACTTGCGTTAACGACACCAATGTGCTGCCTTGTAGGAAAGAGCCAAGGAGGTGAACATAGTCCCACCACGAAAATGAGAGGAATATGAGGTGATACGTGAAAATGTTTCCATGAGGCATGAACAAAACTATAGCGCATGCCTTTGCCGTGGAGAGACGGGCTCGTAAAAAGCACACCCACCGTATCCCGCAGCCGTGCACATCGGGATCTTGCCCAGATTCGCAATGCCCATCGCGGCTTTGCATTTTGAATCAGTTCAGGGCATCGAGGAAGCAAGACAGTGCAACCAAAGACACTCATGAAAGAGGACTCACAGAACTCACCGAGCACACGGCAAGAGCAACGGAGTGAGTGTTTTCAAAGCACGGGGGGAATTTTGAGGAGGATCGATGTCAATAATACATTTTCAATGTAAACATTCACCACGTTTTTGGACCACACCTTGTACGGAAACCGTCTCGACTCAGTCATCCCGCAAAGGATACACACTTCAAGACTTCGTGTTGTACATAATACATAAGAGCGTCTGTCAGTTTTTAAATGAGTAAAAACCAGGTTTAAAATATATTTTAATATATATTGTTTTAAACTAATTTAAGAATAAAAATTATAAGTGAGCTAGTTGGTCCCTTTTTTGCACCAAGTTTCTGAAAGATAGCCTACATTTTACAGTGAGCTCATTTCAATTCAGCCTAGGCACATTCTGAGTGCTCAGTAGCTGAATGCGCCTACCATATTGGGCAGGGAAGGTCCCCGTACTCCAGTTGATTGACTGGGGTCAAAAAGTCAAAGTTGACTTTTTGGGGTTGTTTTGGTTTTTGTTTTTTGAGACAGGGTCTCACTATGTAGTTCAGACCGCTCTGGAACTCGCTGTGTAGCCCAGGCTGGTCTGGAACTCACAGCGATCCTCCTGCCTCAGCCTCCCGAGTGCTGGGATGACAGGCATGTGCCACCATGACATTGTGTTTTTAATATTTGACTTCCTTAGTGGATGGAAAAATTCTCCCTCCACTATCACTGATTGTCAACTGCCTAGGCAGTGATCGATAAATACTTCCAGGCTGAACTCACCGTCACCTAGACTCTCAGGAGTGGGTCTCTACGCACCTGTGCTTTCAGATTCTTCAATGATGGAACACCCAACATGCATCTCGTCCCCTTTGGCTTTCAAGAGAAAGGACACATTCTCCTTATTACATTCTTCCTTGATGACTTTGCTCTCGATATCTAAAAGAGAAAGGAAACGTTTGCATGAGGTCCCTCCGAAAGTGGGTTCTGAAGTTGGTTTCTGTCCCAGATGGGTCCACATTTATCCTTGAAAGCAAATGGAAGAAGAGAATGGCCACTTTGTCAAGGGAAGGTCTTGAACTCCCTGAAGGAGGAAGACAGCAGTGCGAAGAAAACAAGAAATGTAGGGGGAGCTTTTTGAGCTCCTGCATCATCAAGAGTGTATCCAAGAAGAGGTGGAATTGAAGCTTAGATCTGAGACGTCCTTCAAGCCTTATGTGCTGAAGGCTTGGCTTCTAGCACGTGGCGCGATTGGGAAGGTGTGGAAAGTTGAAGAGGCCGTGGGAGGGAGGTCAGTGGGCGCCGACCATGAGTTAGTGACACAGGCTTAGCACAGTGCCTCACCCTTGCCAAATGCACAGTGAGTGGGAAACATCATCATCATGACAACAGAACCGGTCTTGCTTGGTGGCGAATTTAGGATTTTGGAGCAGTTGAGGATAGATGCCTCCGATTTGGCACCCAGGAGTGGCTCTGCCCCGAAGAGCTACGTTACCTAAGTGCTCCGTCTGCACCGTCTGGCTGGCATTCTCTGAAGACTTCAGTAAAACAGCTAAGGTGCTGCTTTCCACACTGTCCAGGAGGGCCGAGGCCAGGGCGGACTTCTCCTCCCGGTCGAATGTGGTCCATGTGGACGTTTGATCAAGCACAGAGGCAAAGCTCTCAGCCTTACTCTGCAAGAAAAGATGCATTCATTCCTTTCCCTTCTCACCCCTCTCCCTCCCGCATCTTCCCTCACTCTCGTCCATCTTTTAATTCTTCCTCTTTGTTTCCTTCTCTTCTTCTGCCCCCCATCGACCTCCTCCTCCTCCTCTTCCTCCTCCGTCTCTCCTCCTGTCACATTACTGAAATACCAGCTGGCCTCTCCTCTCTCGATAGAAGAGTAGACTGAGAGCAATACCAAAGGAGAGTGAAAAGAAGCCTCCATCACCCTCCGTCTTCTGACTCAAGGGGTGTCTTTGGGAACACAGACTGATGTCGCCTTTGCAGACTCCCTCTAACAATGGAAACTGCCCGTCACTTTTGACCCAGGAATTTCTCTTCCAGGAATTAATCCTTCCAGAAATGCTTAAAAATTGCACAATTTTACAAAATTATTCAGTGATATTTATTTCAAGATGACTTCTGGAAATCCTTAACGTCCAGCAAACTGGTTAAATGAGGCTGAAATCCAGTTGTGGAATAGTAAACAGCTGTTAAAGAAGATTGCTATAGCGTACCTCTATGGTTTTTGTTTGGTTTTGGTTTTGGGTTTTTGTTTTCTGAGACAGGGTCTCACTATGTAGTTGAGGCTGCCCTGGAAGAACTCACTGTGTAGCCCAGGCTGGTCTCAAACTCACAGAGATCCTCCTGCCTCAGCCTCCCCAGTTCTGGGATTACAGGTGTGCGCCACCACACCCAGCTTGTACCTTCATGTTTTAACAATCAGAAAGGGCCACAAATACTAAGTTAGTAAACTTTTGAATAGTATGTCCTTATGATCTCATGTGGCTTAATAATAATATAAGATTTTATATTTATGGTATGTATGTTTCTGGCCATAAAATAAAAAATAATGCACACTTATTATGTGATGGATACTTTTATTTAAGAGACAGACAGAGAGATCTTATGTATATTTCCTTGTTTAATATTGAGACTACATCTGTGAAATAGTGGCAGCTATTGCTTAATTAGTGGTTTGGGTGGGGAAACAATAATTTGTGTCTAGTAGGTGGAATAACCAATTTTAAACTTTTCCAGGCCAACACCAAAGCCCAAATTTTTAGTCACTGCCCTAAACTTTTAATGAATGTACAATCTTGTGTGTGTGTGTGTGTATACACTTACAAAGTAAAAAGAGACACACATCTAATTGCTAACATGGGTTATGTCTGACAAATACAGTCAAGGTAAGAATATCAATAAATATCATAGTAATGTTGAGTCAATCCCTTTATTACTGTTATCTTTGATAAACCGACTACAACTTGTGATCATAACCCAAGCCAAAAAGTATGAAAAGAATTCAGAATCCAATAAATTGGGGAAAGAAATGAATTAGATCATTAAGGATATTAAGCAGGAATCTAACTATGGGGAAAAGTTTCGACCTTTCAAAATTAGATGGCCAAAAATAAAAGTAGGATCCTATGAAATCTGAGAGGATTGTCCAGGAGAAGCAGCATCCTGAGGGCCAAACCCATCCCTGAATGGAGTGAGTCTTGGGTCCACCTCCTTCCAGCGACACAGCAAGAAAATCTCATCCAGAAGCACCCGGGAGGAGGAGGTCCCTGATTCTACAGCTGATGAAACCTCACTAAAACCCCACTGAAATATAAGACCTAATTCTTCTTAGCAGGGAGACATTTTATATACTCAGGAAAAACTGAATATATGCAAATTACAAGTCTATAGTGGTAATACTTTCGTATGAAATATAGAAGATTTTGAGTTCTTTGTCTTAATTGGGAAACTTCTGTTAATTAAAAAGTTTGGGACACTTGGACACGTTAGAGAACCACAAGATCTCATTGGAAACTGCAACCTGATTTATGATCTTAATAGGATCAATTTCCAGGAATGTGACTGCTTATAAACTGTATTGTTTTGAAGAATTTGAATTATTGTAGGCATAGAATTAGTATTGATAGCGAAAACCCTGTCACAGTGAATTAACCGGCGCCTGAGGCATCTAGTCTCCCTCAATAGTTTTGTGAATGAAAAGAACCATTGTTAGCTTTGCTGACAGGACAGGCCCCCTTCCCCTGGGCTAGAATAGATAACTAAATGAACTTTAAAGTTAACTTCCCCTAACAAAGACTGCTGTATCCGGGTTGGAATTCAACTGTCCGGGGCACCACGTTTTGAATATCAGCAATGTGAACCGTGAAAATGCATTGTAACCACCTGAATGAGAGCAAGGCTGTAAAACCCTATAAAAGGGGGAGTTGTAGCCGAGCACCACCGTTAGGTGTGATCCACCCCCATCCATGGAGTAAACCTCCGTTATTTTACTTCCATTCTGCTGCCTCTCTGTGTCACTTGCCACTTCCTTCCTTAACCTTATGTCTATGAATTAGAGGGATTGGTTTTGGGAGTCACTCGAAGGCCCCAGGGACCTTGCCTGTTAGATTTGCAAATCTTCCTCGTGAGGGCTTGAAGTGTGGAGGGGAAATACGATGATTTTTAAACATAGAATGAAATATTTCAGGGATTTTAAATTAAAAAACAAGTCACGTAAAGATACAAAATCCCAATGATGAATGAAACTATTGCATACCTAAAATGTACCAACATACTTAATAAAGATAAAAAAGGCAAATTATTTATGAAAATGTAGCCTGAAAATACTATGCATGCACACTTAATAAGCATGTTAAATTAATTTTCAACTAATCAAATTATATGTGAAAGTTTTATTATTTTCATAACAAAAATAACCAATATCTATGTCTTATCATCCACAGAATATATAGAAATAACATTCACAAGTCCAACTTACGGGCTTAAAAAAGCGGGGCTTTAATACCTTTAATACTGTAATGATCTAGTACCTCCTACATATACGTCTTGGAGAAGATTCACATTTACACTAAAAAAATTGTACACAAACGTTCGTATCAGTACTATTGACAAGTGGCAATGGCTCTGAACGACCTAAAGCTCTTTCAAAGATGAATGGATTAAAAAATATGGCACCTTCATAAAAAGAGGTTTCATTCAGCCGCGATATTGGCCATTCCATGCTCAGGGAGGCAAATTAGACCCAAAGGCACGAATACTGTGTGACGCCTCTCACGGGACGTCCCTAGAGTGGAAAGCGGAGTGGTGGGTGCTAGGGACCGGAGAGGGAGATGAGGACCAGATACGCAATGAGTACGGGGTTTCGGGGGGGGGAGTGGGTGACGTCAGTGTTGTGCAACTGGAAAGTCGTGACGATTGCGCACACACCCCTCTAGTGGCTGATAAAAAGGAATGGAAGTATTGATAATCATAACGCACACGAATTTCAAAGGCCCTATGCAGAGAAAGAAAGAAAGTCTCAAATGGTCACCCGGACCGTATGAAAAGACAGATGCGAGGGGCAGCGTGTTCGGGATTTGTTGGGTGAGAGGAGAAGGAAGCTTCTAAATATAAGCGGGAAAAGTCAAGGGGATTTTTGGGGGAAATGAAAATGGCAGTGTCCTCATTAGCGGGTAGTTCCACAAATCTGTTCGGGTCTCTCAGAACCTCCAAAGTCTGAAAAAGCGGACAGTATGCTGACTTTTAAAAATCTCACGACTGTAATGAAATTAAAGGTGAACTCGCCATGCAGTGATCATGGGGGTTCTGCACCCCCAAACGTGTGAGATGTTTAGAAACTCAAACACAACGACAGAGACGCCCCTGGTTACCTTCAGCGACATGACGGTGGTTTTGTTTTCACAGGCGTCGTCCAGGACTCTGAAGGTGGCGTTCATGAGGGCACAGAAGGAGGCCTGTGTCCCCAAAGAAAGAGCCCCCGTGAGCATGGGTCAGTCCACTCCCAAGGCCGTCCTCTGCAGCCTGGGCTGGGGCAGGCCGAGCAGAGGGGCCTGGACCTGAGTCTCTGGGATTCTCGGGGAGATAAAACTCACCCGACCAACTGTTTTTGCCCAGAGGTGGGAAGTAGAATAGAAGGATGTTGGGTAACACGTACTAAAACTCAGTGACGCGGGAGGAATGAGTTATCATGTTCTCCAACGTGGCAGAGAGTTAGGGCTCACAATAACCTAAGACACGGCGCACACTCAACTAGAAGAGACACAGGCTCCGAACAGAAAGGACAGGGAGAGGGAAGTGCTTATTGCCACAGTTTGATCAGTAAATGCTGTGTGCTTCTGTTGAAATATTCCACTGTCCTCCAGTAATGTGTACCATATTACACACTAATAAAAATTAAATGTATTTATCGCAAATGAACGTATTATTGTATATGTTTGTGGGACACAACATGACGTTCTGATACATGTATGCCCTGTGCGATGATTGATTAACTCCAGCTAATTAACATATCCCTCCCCTCAAAGGATTATCATGCTTTGGGGTGGGAAATTTGAAATTAATTCACTCACAATGATTTTGAAATATATAATGGACTATTATTAACTAGAGTCACCACACTTCCAATGGATCTTTAAAAATATATTCCTTCTGTGTACCTGCAACTTTGTACCCTTTTACTGCTATTTACACACACACACACACACACACACACACACACACACATTCCCTCCTGCTCTCTTCTATGAGTTTGACTGTTTTAGATTCCACTTATAAGTGAGAACAGGCACAGTTTGTTTCTCTGTGACTGGCTGACTTCTCTTAAAATAACATCCTTCAGGTCTATCCACGTAGCAACGAATGTCAGAACTTTCTCCTTTTTTTAAGGCTGATTAGTAAACCACCGTATTGGAATCGCATCACCTTTATCTTCGGTGAATAAAAGAAGCAAATAGCAAAACTATTTGTCAGAGGCCGGAGATTTAGCTCAGTGGCACCACGCCTTCCTCTCAAGCGCAAGGTCCTGAGTTCAATCACCGGTACCAAGCAAAAACAAAACTATTTGTTAGAGCAAAAAGGGAAATGTATGAAAAAGTGTTCTCAAGAGAATATCAATCACCCATGGAAAGAAAGGATTTCTGGTTCATGTAGCAGCATGGATCAACGTTGACAGCATGGTGATGAATGAAAGAAGCCCGATACTGCAGGCCAAATACTATATAATACCTTTTTTAGGGTGTGTCACAAATCCATGGGGACGGAGAGCTGATTAATGTTCCCAGGACCCGGGGGGAGGAGGAATGGGGGTTGATGAGAACAGGATTTCCTTTTGGGGTGAAAGGAATGTCCTGGAACCAGTTACTAACAAATTTTGCACACTGTAAATACACTAAATGTCCCTCAATTATATACTGTAAAATTGTTAAAAGGGTAAATTTTATGTTGAGCCTGTTTCATCAAATTAAATAGGAAATCAGTGGCCCATGGTATGTGGATTTCAAAGCTAATTTACCAATTCCCAGTTAGAATGGTGACATCAGTTCCTGAGGGTGACCTGGCATTTTGCTGATTTCAATGACTTCATTAGGTAATCAGGATGTCCAAATTCCTCTTTGCCCGGCTTAACTGTGTAACACCTATCCCGCATCACTCAGACCAACACCAACACCTTCACTGGTGGCGAGACTGCGAAGAAGTATCCCACTTGATTTACACAGGTTAAGTACCTTCTCTTCACAGCTTCCCTTGCAGCTATGCTCAACCATGTAACTAATTTCTGGCCAGTGTGTATAACCAGAAGTGATACCGTGGCATACTCTTAAAGAAAGACTGTGCCTTTCATGTCCTCTTCTCCTTTCCCTGCCAGCTATAAAGCAGATGTGATGGCAGGAGCTGGAGCAGCCATACTGAGCCACAAAGTGAGTCTTGTGTTGACAGTGGCAGTGTTACAGAGCCATCAAATAAGCTCTCCCTAGTGGACAGATTGTTAGGACACCATTATATTTTATTTTGTTAAGACTGCAAAAATAATCTGCTGAAGTGGCCTCTTGGAAAACCTCAACAACTAGGACCTTTCAGTAGTACTTACATATTTAGGGTCCGCAGCTGACTCTTCTTGGCATTGCTGGATCTGGTCATTGTGGGGAATCATGTCTTCCTTACATTTGAATGGAACCCCTAGGAGGGAAACAAAAGCAACCGAATCAAACTTCAATCACAGTAAGGTACGAACAAAAGGTGAGTCTGACTCCACTACCACCCTGGTGAGAATCTGCCGTGGTCATAACGCACAGCAGTGAAGATGAACCAGCTGTATAACACACCACGGCATGAGAGCCTCTGAGGAGAGCAGCGAGTAGGATGATTACATTTTTCCACAGGGTCCCAGGTGAGACAAACTAAGACAGATATAGTTTAGAGGTACTTACCTGAAGGAGGATTTTTAATAGAAGAAAAATAAAGACAAAATTCCAAGAGCTTCCCCGGGAGGAGGACACAGAAGGATGGAGTGGTGGGGGGAGTTTAAGAGTCACAACGGCCTCGATGATTTTCTCATTCTTATTTGAGAAGGGCATCAGATATATTTGTTTTGTTGTATGTCACTGCAGCCACTTCAGTATATATTTTTAATGTATAGAAATCTCATCATTTAAATATTTAAACCTTTAAAGTTTTCTGTTGTTCTTGAGGATAAAAGCCTCTAGATTGCTTTGTATAGCACCCAAGGCCCTAAATGATCTGAGCTCTGTGCAACACCTGGGGCACATCTAACAGTACTTCTGCCTTGTTCTCACTCTGCATGCGCTTCAGGACCTTTGCATGTGCTATAAGCTGGAGCATCATGACTTCCACGCCTCATCTGGACAATGCCTACTTCTCCTTCCAGCTGCAGCTGAGATGTTATTTGCTCGGAGCCTACTAAAATCCCATTGTTTCCCTCAAAACACATTGTACTGTTACTGGCTGCATCCCTCACGGTTATTATTAATAATGAGGTATGTGCCTTCCCTTGACATAAACTACATAAAAGCAGGTACTATGTCCACCAAAATCAGGACTGAATTTGCAATGCTTGGTGCAGTGGACTGCTAAATTAATTAATTTACAGTTGACCCCAAAATAACGCATCCAATGAGTGGATTAATGAATGAACAGAAAAAGAAAAGGAATATTGTGTGTGGATGAGGTGAAAGTAAGAGGAGGGAGTGGAGGTTTGACAGAATGAGGACTTTACTAGCAAAATAGGGTGGATTCCAAGGCCAACACACACAAGGAGAGGATTACTTCTGCAGCTGAAGTTGCCATGTGTCTTAGAGCCTTCTGGATTGGGCCGGAAGCCCGGCAAACAGCCACAGCCATAGGAGCCCGGAACATTGGTGCAGACAGAGTGTGGACCACAGGGTGATGGATCCTGGGAACATTCATCCACATCTGCAAAGAGTTCAAGGATATCAAGAAACTCAGAGGAATTATGGAGGAACTTCTTGCCTGAGCCACCATGTGGCCAAACCACTGACCTTCACATTCCACTTCTTGGCCTGTGAAATTCAGCTGGCCGCTGGTTGGTGTGAAGCCACGGTGGCAGGTGCAAAAGTAGCTCCCAAGAGTGTTGGTGCAGGTAGAGCTGAGGGGGCACGAGTCTGCACACTCATCGATATCTGTCAGGTAAAGAATGGGCATCACGTGCAGTTGGCCAGGCGCCCAACCAAGCCCTGCTTCCCCTTCCAAAGTACGGTGTGCATCCTTCCATGGTTTTGTTATTGCGTGAAAATCGCAGACTATAGACGTGTGGCCGACTGTCTTGGGCCACATACGAAATAAAGAATTACGGTCAATGTATGTAAGTATTGAAACTTCCTCATTCAGACTTTATTCCATAAAGTAACACAAGAAGCCCAAGTTTAAGAAATTACATAGGAAACTTACGATCTGCTTCATAATACTCACTCAGTGCCTGTCCTCACAGGCACGTGCACATGTTATCAATAAAAGTAGGAATGCCCTCTAAAATAATACTAAAAGACATAGCATAAGCCAGTGACATCTATTATGTATGACCCACAATTACACACACTACCCTGGTATGTGACTTACAGTACAGTAGATCTGTTATGCCAGTATCCCCATAAACATGTGAGCAATGCATTGTGCTAGAAGAGCTATAACATCACTGGGCAATAGAAAAATGTCCCCTGCCTTATACTGTACTCTCATGAGAGTATGGTCCATTGTCCTGGAAAATGGCGGCCCAGCCAGAAACTACATTTCCCAGCAGCCTCCAGGGGAGACAGTCCGACCCGTCTTCTTCGCTCAGTGTGGGAGGGACGGTGGATTCACGACTGCGCCAAGGTATTTAAGAAAGAGGTCACTTATGTCCTCTCTCTTCCCTCCCCACGGTTGGGACTCCAAGGCCCTAAGGGACAAATGAAATCAAAAGCTGAAAGGAGACGGCGTCCCTCTCGTCGGTGTGAGGGAAAGTTGTACACTGGCCAGAGAGCCCCATGTTGAGATCGTGATGGTGAGAAATTTCCATGACGTTAAGGGAGCGGTTCTCAACCGGGAGCAATTCGCCTGCCAGGGAATGTTGGGCAGTGCCTGCCGAGAGACGTTTTTGTTGGTCACAGTGTGAGCACAGGGAAGAGTGCTACCAGGACCCAGCGAATAGAGGCTAAGGATGCTGCCGGACTCCTGGAATACACGACAGATCGCCCACAGGGAGCCAGCCTAAGATGGAAGTGGAGCTGAGGCGGAGAGAAGCCCTCACTTAATGAACCCAGAGTGAAGCTGGGTAGCTGTGCTTCCTTCTGATTTACAGGATAAAATGTAATCATCAGGAAAGAGTGAAGGATGAAACCTTTCTTATCTCTGTGCATGTGAACGCGCACACGCACACACACGCACGCGCACGCACGCACCAGCAGGAATAAAGAGGTGATCCATGCCGGTATAAGCAGCCCAGCACTGCCATCGAGCCCATGGGGAGCTGGAGTAAGAGGTCTTTGTGATATGAACGTGGATTAATTTAGAAGCCTCAAAAAAACCACACAGAAGTGATCCACTATCGGAAGGGATGGGGCAGTGGTTTTTCTCCTGGTCTCCCAGAAGCTGTCTTAACAGAGAAGGGAGCTTCTTTCGGTAGTGGTGAGCTCCTCGCTTCCGGAGATATTTAGGCATAAACTAGGCTAGCTCTTGTCAGACATGGAACTTACATTCTGCATGTGGGGTTTGGTTAGGAGCACGGTTTTCAAAGCCTCACCGCCAAGTGCTGAGGTGCACGTCTGTAATCCCAGCGCCAAGGAGGCGGAGGCAGAGGATTACAAGTTCCAACACCTTGGGTGCTCAGCTTTTCCCCTTGGAATAAGTGTGGTCTCTCAGTGTTTCCTGGGAGTCCCTGTAACTGTGAGTCATCCTGAGAAAAACTAGGGCATTCAGCACCATGTCCCCGAAATGCCTATTTTGTGTTCCCAGGGCTCTTGCCACGTCAAGGGGACGCGGTAGGCGAAGAGGGGTGGAGACGCCCGCGTGAGACGTATCCGAGGGGCGCGTGGGAGGGGGCCAGCAGTGCTAGCTGTGAAAACTGCTTTTCTGCTCGTACACCAAGCCGCCTACTCCCGGTGATACCGGTCACGCAGCGGGACAGAGCAAGCTAGTGATGTAGTTGGAGCGATAAAACCTCCTCTTCCCCGTGACTGAGGAGGGAGCGGGGGTCTGTGATGCGCTGTCGTCCACGTGGCCACCGCGGGGTACTTAGATTCTCTCTGGTCGTTTTCCTGCCCAGCACACCGCCGCTGGGCCCTGAAGGATTTCCTGTCTGGCCCACAGCCTGCCAGGCCTTCTGGCCAATGACAGATCCAGCCCATCGCACTGGACTCTGTCTGTGGATAATTCAATAACCCTCGCCCACAAGCCACCTCTGGGGATTTCCTTCAGTCCCTCGGCAACGGTCCCCACTGCCCCAAAACACCTGGACTGTGCGCAAGACACCAGATTAATTGATCTCTAAGGTCCCTTTCAAATTTACCCTTCGATTGTTCGGCCTCTACTAAACTCAGCAGCTAGTTACCTGTACATTCCAAAGCCTTTGAGAGTCTGGGGTTCTGAAAACCAGCCGAAGAGAATCCAGGCAGGCAGGCGCAATCGTAATCTCCTGGAGTGTTGATGCAAGTAGAGTTGGGACCACAGAGAGTCGAGTTCTTGGAACATTCATCTATGTCTAAACAGAAAAGCAGTCTGGGTTAAAAGGACGAAGGACGCTGGGCTTGACCTCTCACAGCCTCAGTAACGACTGGAGCCCGTGTGTTCCCTGCTTCTGGGCTCCATTTTTGTGTTTTTTTGTTTTGTTTTGATTTTTTGAGACAGGCTCTCACTGTGTAGTTGAGACTGACCTGGAACTCACTGTGTAGTCCAGGCTGGTCTCGAACTCACAGCGATCCTCCTGCCTCAGCCTCCCGAGTGCTGGGATGATAGGCGTGTGCCACCATGCCTGGCTCTAGAGGTTTTTATTACTGCCTCAATTTCATTGCCTGTTAGTGGACTGTTCAGGGTTTTACATCTTATTTCAAGTTAAGTAAGTCTAGGTGTCTAGAAGTTTATCCATTTCTTTTAGATTCTTCAATTGTTTGGAAGATGAAATTCCAAAATAGTTTCTTTAAATCCTCTGAGGCAGGCAGGCGCAATCGTAATCTCCTGGAGTGTTGATGCAAGTAGAGTTGGGACCACAGAGAGTCGAGTTCTTGGAACATTCATCTATGTCTAAACAGAAAAGCAGTCTGGGTTAAAAGGACGAAGGACGCTGGGCTTGACCTCTCACAGCCTCAGTAACGACTGGAGCCCGTGTGTTCCCTGCTTCTGGGCTCCATTTTTGTGTTTTTTT